CAAAGCATCACCGTATTCTCATAAGTGGTGCATTATTATTCTGGCCTATGCATAAAACAAAACTGCGCAAGATCAAAGTATTCGATTAAGCTCCAAATTTTTAGTCTCAAGACAGATAACATCTCTGAAGGTGAACATACAAAACTTTTTGAGATATTTTAGGCGAAGGTATAAAATAGCTAAATGTTTACCGCATAAACCTTAACGACGTTATTCCTTGAACTTCGATGGAAGTTTGCTTACTGACAATGATCATAACACTCCATAACTTTAAACGGTATGGTGGGTATACAAAAATGTCACGGACATACAAAGCCACTACGTTCATGCTTGAATCCACGTCGGTACGCAAAAACATACTTATTAGCCCAAGTTCGCTCTGAATTACTTTGAACTCCGACCGATCACATTTCGGGAAGTTTTGGATATCCACCTCAGGTGTTTGGCTCTTAAAATGTTTGGGTCGCTTTCCGTCATTTCAAATGTTTGGGTTATGATCTACCAGTACACACATTTTTAATCTCGCCGTCGTTATTGGGGTTTTACGACGCGCTCACCTGCCAAGGCTACACGGCATCGCCCGCCTCTCACCCTGGCAGGAAGGGGGGGGGGGGGGCACCGTGGGGAATCCAACCCCGCGCCGCTGGTTTCCCAGAAGTGCAGTGGTTAACGCAGAAGCGTTAACCACTCCACTACCGGCACTCTAAATTTTTAATTTCATTGGAAGGGTCCGCGCTGAATAATCGTGAACTTTGACCTATGATATCTAGGGAAGCTTTGGATATCTACTCAAGCTTTTAGAATTTTCAAATGCTTAGGTCATGGTGTACAAATCTACCTATTTTTAGCCCAATCGAAATGGTCCTCACCTATCGACCTTGAACTTAGACCTTTGATATCCCGGGAAGATTTGGATGTCCACGTTAGCTTTTGTAGCTTTCAAGCGCAAGGTCAAGGTGTGCGAGTCTACGAAATTTGAGCTCAATCGAAAGGACCCATTCCAATTAATCTTGAGCTTACATCATTTATGGACATAGACCCTCTGAGACTGAAAATATTTATCAATAATATACCATAAGTCTTCACTACACTCTCAAAGTAGAATATAATGTAATAAATAGGCCGCAAAGCCCCTTACATTTTGGCGGACATGCCCTGTTCATGTGAGCTTCAAAATTCATAGTGCACGGTGAACCAAAGTAAAACTGAAAGCCTAACCAAAAATCCGGAACGTTGGACGTTTATGGAGCCACGTTACGTAAACGTGGTTGTTTATACCGAGGCAGTCTCATATTTGCGCTTATTCTCACTCTTTAACTCCATCTTAACCTTGCGAACATTTTGAATATTTGGATATCCACCTTAGCTTTTCGACTTTTCAAATGGGCTATGGTCTACAAGTACACAACAATTGAGTTTCATCGAAAGGTTTCGTCGTGATTGATCCCTTACTTTTACCTACAATATCTCAGAAAGGTTTGGATACCTACCTTAGGTTTTGAGATTTTCAGGTTCTTGGGTCATGGTGTACGAGACCAAAATGTTCTAGCTCAAACGGAATGTTTTATTCAATTGAACTGAAGCTTACATCTTCAACCCAACGCAAAATTTTAGATGCTTACCTCAGCTTTTGGTACTTTCATATGCTTCCGGCATGATGCACGAATATACCAATTAGAGTGCAGATTGGCCTCTGATGTGCAATGTCCTACCTGCACAGACCAGCGTGCTCCATCAAAAGGAGCAGGCGCGTCCCGTGTGCCACTGGATTTGATAGCACTTGCACCACCAGCAACGCAGCGCATCAAGTTGCATGCACCTTGTGTTCGGCTACCTACATCGGAGAGTGTATTCATCCGTTACATGGACCCTTCACGGATTTGATGTGCTTCCTGACATGCTTGGAAAAAAGTGTACAAGTGTATGCAGTGAAAATAGTGAAGGAATCTCGACAAGGCGCCGGCGCTTCCAGGCGTTGTCGGCGCTTAGCGGATCGGATTCGGCCCCAAATTTAGTACAGCGGTGCGACCGAGCTCGTGTAGCCGCACGCACATATCCCGTGGCCAGCTGGCACCAGCGCGAAGACGTGGCCGCATTTCTGCACGACAGACGTGCGAGCGGGCGAGTGATGGGAACATTGCAATATGTAATTGAAATGTTGGGTATTTTGACATTTGATTCCGGAAACATAAAATTTTTAACGCTTTAGTCAGTTTACTCGAAGGGATATCTTATTATGTAAAAGAATGAAGTCTTTTCCGCTCTATCCATAACATGACAATTCACTGGACTTATAAGTATGTACTATTTCTGTACATGCATAATGGTGGCACACTCTGCATTTTCAACAACACAACACCTATCCCATATCCAACCCATACACTGTCATTTGTGAAACATTGGATTTTCTCAGTCGGAGTTTGCACACGATAGTGCTTTGTTTTTGTGCCTCAGCTGTTGAGATTGCAGTTGCACCGGTATGGTGTGCCTGGTGCTGCTCATTTGGCCTGTACGGGATCCCGTCCGACGGGACCCCCATTTCGAAAAGAATTACTGGGGCACGCTCTGAGCACCTCGCTTTCCGAACAACGATGCCAAGATTTGCGAGCATGCATGGAACGAGCAACGATACATTCCGTTGTAAAGCACCTAGTAGGGCTTTTGCTTAGATGGAGGGTCAGTGTATTAGTGTTGTTACCAATAGCCTGTGGCAGGTCTTCTTTCCCACATGAAATAAAAAGTCTGCACAAGACGTTTTGTTATCGGCAAATCGATGAGGTTATTAACGCGTCACACCACCGCATACGAACGGCCATTATTTTTGCCATGAGGTTAACATGTAAAATCCTCGGAACACGTACACTGTTCCCGCGTAATTTTCATAGTGCTTTGCTCGTTTGTATTTCGGCGAGTTCTTGAAACCATATCCTCAATATGTTTGAAAATGAGGGAACTTTATGGTAGCACTCTTTGGTAAGTACTTACGCTCACAAGCATGAACCTGGCATTGGTTTTGCAAAAACGCCAAGGAACAATAATATCGATGACTATCTAACTTACGTAACATGGGGCTTGGCATTTTTCAGTGGCTGCTCAAAAAATACGTCGCTCTTGACTTCGGAAGACGACTCACCCTTCAATGTTCGGTGGCCAGTATCTTTTCACCCGTGCGCTCCAGAAAGCTCCCCGGGTTGTCATGGCCAGTGTTCCGATTTAGCACCTGCACGCACCCCGAAGACGGGTCCATGCACCGAGTAACGCCCGGCAGCGATGAAGTCTTAGCGAGGCCTCAGAACTGTCTCACTTCTTAGTTCCTATCATTATGAGTCATAATAAATTCGCAACTCTCGAATGGTAGAATGTTCCCGAATGAGCTGTTCTCTGGTCAAACCCATTTGGCAGGAGACGGCTATGCGACTTTGATAAGGACAAGTGTAGGCCTACAAGCCATTACGCCGGAGTAGATCGACGGCAGCGGCTCAGCTGGATCTTTACGCAGAGATATCAGCAACAAGCGTGCTGAAGCTCAGCTGCACTATTCGCAACAGGGCCACGCTATTTTTTAAAAGCAAACAGTTAAGTGCTCCAAGACACTAGCTGCTAACACCTAAAAAATGAAAATGGAATTACCGACACTTTTATCGCAAGGCGTGAAGTGCGTGCATGTTTGTGTCATTGGGGTTTTACTACGCGCTCAGCTACTGAGGCTGTATGGAGTCGGCTGTGTTTCAACCTGGTATGAAGGGCGGACAACGAGCGTATTTATTGCGAAAAGCGTACAGCGTAATTTTCGCTAATGCGTCAAAATTTGCTGAAAAGCATTCTAACAACCGAAAATCAAGATGCAAAATATTTTACAATATTATTACAATATTTTATAATGAAATGTTTGCATAGAGCATAAATATTTTTTATGCTGAAAATATTTTACAATGAACTGCACGTGTAAAATCGTCGAGTGCCTAGTTTTCGGATCGTATCAGATGGTATGAATGGCCTTGGTATGGCTCACGTCCGCTGCTCAGTCTAAATAGGTTCGCTGCACATTCCGACTTTCCGACTGCTTTTAACGGATCGCGCAACAAGTTCGGATTTGCATTCTCATCCCAATAATCGAGAGCTATGCTTGTGTGAAAACTACGCGAACCGCCGAACAGGCATAATTCGAGGCGACGCCAGAGTCAGAAAGAATAGCCTGACTACGTGTCTCCCTGACACTGTCCATAGTGGGTTTGGTTCGGCTTTATCTAGTGCTACTTTTACTTTGAAACTAAAGCGAAGTCACAAACAAACGGTTCGCCAGGAAAAAAATGATCAAAGATGTATGAACGTCCTTCAGCGTTCTCCAGCACGGCGTGCATTTGCGAACTGCTCACAGGCCAAGAGCATTCATACTATGCATAACCAACAATAAATGTCGTAACCAAGGGGAAGGGCGAGGGGGCCGTGCCTCTCACCCCGTTCCGCCGAGCCAAGAGGCTTACACTATATATGGGGCATTCTCGCAAGACCTCACTCCAAATTGGTAGGATTATAGGGACAACTTGACAGTCGATCCCCCTGAAGAAAATTTGGGTCACGTGTCTGCCACACAGCTAGAGTGATTTATTACCTTCTTCCCGACTTTGTCTCCAGAGGAAGTGTTCTCCCATATAATTATCCCGTGCTTGACAAATGCAAGTTGCGGTATGCTATAAATGCAGAATGCTATCAAACGACGTCGTGATACAGCACACACGTAGCGGGGAGCATAAGCGATCCTGGTACACTCAACAACCGCGCACGCAGCGACCTTTAGGTTTTGTAGCGTCCGCGCCGCTCGATCCCGACGCCTTCACCCGTTTCAAACGTGCCGCCGTTGACGCTGCTGTAGACTCGCCCTCGTGGGAGTGCGGTGTTTGGCGGCGCGCCGCCGGCGTCCCCACGCCAGCGGGCGGACCGCGCCGCCCGGCCCCGGCCAGGTACGGCCGGCCTGCCGTCCGGCAGTCGACAGGTGCGGCGTGCGGAGGTGGGGCGCTGTCGGAGCGTTCCGTGCGAGGCCTTGTCGAGAGTCGTCACAGAGGGTGTCAGCGCGCCGGTGTGACCGGGGGAAATGTCAGAGTGGCGGCGTGCCTGCTGTCAGAGGTGCTGCAGTGACTGACCGACAGAGCGCGACGCGACAGACGACAGCGAGTGACCGCGGCGGCAGACCGCGCCGGCATGGCCAACTCGGACTACCTGGAGGAATACATCAGCGCGATGGAGACGCGCGACGAGCCCGACTCGGGCGACGTGTTCGCGCAGCTGCAGCAGAAGGAGAACGACCTCATCCTGGCGGCCGAGCTCGGCAAGGCGCTGCTGGAAAAGAACGAGGCGCTCAGCATGGAGAACGAACGCATGGCCGAGGACTACTCCAAACACCTGGAGGTAAGTCTGCCAAAACGGGGCCAAATTCCGAACATTGTAATCTCCCCTTTGATGAGAGATCTCTCGTGAAACGCATCTTGTCGCGCCGAATGCAAACGTTAGGAGTAGGAAGAGTTGACATGGCCGTCATTAGTAAAATGGCTGGCAAATGCTGACGTTTTCTTCCAGACGTCAAGCATGAGTCATATGTTGATTGTGTAAGTGCCCTTGGAACTAGGCATGGGTTTCCCACTTAATCGTTGATCTTTCTAAGCGTTTTTCCGCTCCTTACCTCAAGGTCACCGCGACTTCGTAACGACCGCTGTTCCGTCGTGAGGGACTCTAATCAGCTAATAGTCACCTCATTTGGGAGATCTCCGGCAGGCCAATTAGCCCTCGGCCAATTTACCGCGGACTTTCAGAATGGCGTGCAGAGGCTCGCCTCGTCCAATCAACATCAGACGAACATGAGCGCTGGGCACTGTGGTACAGCGACCCCGGGCTGTGGTGCAGAGGTACAAAAACCCCAGGCTGCAGTGCAGTGGTACAGAGACCCCGGGCTGCGGTACATAGGTGACCCCGGGCTGCAGAAGAAGGGTACAGAGGCCCTGGGCTGCAGTACAGATGTACTGAGACCCCGGGCTGGAGTACAGTGGTAAAGAGACCCCGGGCCGGAATACAGAGGTGCAGAGACCCCGGTCTGCAGCACAGAGGTGACCTCGGGCTGCACTAGAAGGGTACAGAGAACCCGGACTGCAGTACAGAGGTACAGAGAACCCGGACTGCAGTACAGAGGTACAGAGAACCCGGACTGCAGTACAGATGTGCAGAGACCCCGGTCTGTGGTACAGGGGTGGCCCCGGGCTGCAGTAGAAGGGTACAGAGACCCCGGACTGCAGTACAGAGGTGACTCCGGGCTGCAGTAAAAGGGTACAGAGACCCCGGACTGCAGCACAGTGGTGCAGGGGCTGCGGGCTGCAGTACAGAGGTACAGAGACCCCAGTCTGCAGTGCAGTGGTGCAGGGGCCCCGGCCTGCAGTACAGAGGTATAGAGACTCCGGGCTGCAGTGCAGAGGTACAGAGACTCCGGACTGCAGTACAGTGGTACAGAGGCTGCGGGCTGCAGTACAGAGGTACAGAGACCCCGGGCTGCAGTGGAGAGGTACAGAGACCCCAGACTGCAGTGCAGTGGTACAGAGACTGCGGGCTGCAGTGCAGTCGTACAGAGACCCCAGGCTGCAGTACAGAGGTACAGAGACCCCGGGCTGCAGTGGGGAGGTACAGAGACTCCAGGCTGCAGTGCAGTGGTACAGAGACTGCGGGCTGCAGTACAGCTCCGGTTGCACGCCACACGGCCGCGGGGGCGGACAGCGAATCCGCCAGCCGTCACGACCCCCGGTAGCCGTCACGGCTGTGACACCCAACTGCGCACTCCCGTTAGCCGGCGACGGCGACGGCGGGCGCAGCTCCATCTGTTGAGTTCACACCGTGGGCGGGGCGCGTTCCCAGGACAAGCAGCGCCCGTCACCGGGTGGTTCCGGACAGCGGACATGTGGCCGCCGGCCGGCCTCCGGGCCCGGCGGCGGCCCCGCTGGGCCCGGCCGGCCGCGGCGCGTCTGGGCTCGAACGCAGCGCTTTCAGCTGTAACCGGTCGGCTAGGGCCGCTGACGTGTGTCGTGGGAGTCAGCTGGCAGAGGAGCCGACTCTCCCGTCGGGATCCGTGAATGGACCGACCTTGGACCAGGCCCGGCGGATTAGAATCGCTGGAGCACCGCCGTGGCGGCCCGGTCCCCCCACGTAGCACGCCGCCTGAGGTGACCGATCCCGCCCGGTCTGTGCCGGCGCTGACGTCAGCTCCGTTTCGCCGCTGTACCAGCCTGGCAGCCGGCGGCCTGCCGGTGGCCCCCGCCGCTGGTCCACCGGCGCTGGCTCACGATCCACGCCGCGCCACGCCGTGGACCGGTTGCGGGGCGGTTCGCGGCCGGTTTCCGGTACAGACAATGGCGGTCCGGCCATCCCGCCGCCGACGCCTTTGTCCGTCGCTTACCGGCACGCCATGCCGTCTGCATTCGGGCCAGCTTCGGCTCTGCGAGCCGACCGCCGTCTGAGTGGCGTCAGCTGTCCGGTGCTGCCGACGGACGCGTCTGGAGCCCAGAGCCGGGCCGCGCGGCACCGGCCGGCCCGCGCTCGGACGTCACTGCCGGGACAGCTTTGTCCGGTTCCGGGGTGGGTGGTGGAATGCAGCCGACCTGCCTTCGCGCCGGAGCCCTTCCGCCTGGTGCGAGCCTCGTGGTCCGGTGCGCCAGACTCGGTCTCGAAGGTAGCCTGCGGCTCCGGCTGTCCCTTATTCCTGGCGTGCTTCCCAATGTTTGGCGCCTCGGGATAGCCCCTCCAGTCGGGTAGATAGCAGGTGCAGGACGTCTCCGTCCGGTGGAATGTCCATTGAAAGACGTGCAGTGTATGCCCCTCTCGGTCATGCTCGACCATTATTCTGTGTAAAGCTAGACTGCTTCATGCGGTGTAGACTGTCATCACTCGCCTGTTCAGCTGATGTCCACAGACTGGCTCGCGCGCAGCTGGACTGTGGTCGCACCCGACCTCGCTGTCACGCCCAAGTGTTTGTTGGCCTCTTCCGTGTCTGCTCTCCCGTCCTCCTTGCCGGGGTCGCCGCCTCCCTGTCTCCCTAGCCAGGAGAGCGGCGGGCACCGCGTCCAGTAGGGCCGGAGAGCAGCGGGCGCCGCGGGGAGTGGCGGGCGTCTCGCCCGGCAGGGCCGGGGAGTGGCGGGCGCCGCGCCCGGTAGGGCCGGAGAGTGGCGGGCGCCGCACCCGGTAGGGCCGGGGAGCGGCGGGCGCCGTGGGGAGTGGCGGGCGCCTCGCCCGGCAGGGCTGGGAGTGGCGGGCGCTGCGCCCGGTAGGGCTGGAGAGTGGCGGGCGCCGCGTCCGGTAGGACCGGAGAGTGGCGGGCGCCTCGCCCGGCAAGACCGGAGAGTGGCGGGCGCCGCGTCCGGTAGGACCGGAGAGTGGCGGGCGCCGCGTCCGGTAGGGCCGGAGAGCGGCGGGCGCCGCAGGAAGTGGCGGGCGCCTCGCCCACCAAGGCCGGAGAGCGGCGGGCGCCGCGGGGAGTGGCGGGCGCCTAGCCCGGCAGGGCCAGAGAGTGGCGGGCGCCGCGCCCGGCAGGGCCGGAGAGCCGGCCGCCCAGGCCCTGTCTGTCTCCAGATGTCCTCCGATAGCGGGCCGCGGCGTCGCCTCCCGGCTTAGCGCCAGCCCCCTCAGCGGCCGAAGCCCAGCGCTCGACAGACGCCGGCGGGCCAGCCGCTGGATAATGTCATCCATCACGCACGCCTGTTGTGTCCGGCGCAGAGTCAGGCCCGTGAGCTGGGAACAGCTGTCGTCATGCGCTGCGAGTCCCCCCTTTCACATTCTCCGTATCTTCTTCTCCCCTCCCTCGCTTTATCCCTCTCCCCATCACCCTCTATCCCTTATTCCCTGCCTGACTCCTTCTCTGTTCCTTTCGTCTGCCGTCCCTCTCGTTCTGCGACTGTGTCCTATCGTCTGGTATATGGCGCATCGCGTCGAACCTCTGGTGCCATCCTGAGGCCGGCTTCAAACATGTCACGGACAATAGTACTGTGCCAGACAAGGGCCGAGGTTTTACAGTTGTGGAGGCCTTGCTCGTGCTCGTTGTATTCGCCAGGGCATTTCTACGTCGAAATTGTAGGACTTTATCCAAGTCCTTCATGCATCTGGCCTAATGAGCGATCAATTCGCCAGGCTGCAAAAATGTTTTATCATCCGCAACATTAAATAGAGCCTATACCGAACGTGTTCGCAGCGTGACAGGTGTTTTGTTTACGCTGTCGTAACTTTCGTGACAATAACTGCGCATGCGAGACCGTAGCATTTTCGTTCACACGCACTGCGCATGCTACTAACAATGAAAACCGCAGATTATGCTGCATGCAGCCTATAGCATACCTTTTGCACCCCTCAGGGGTCCTGTACGCGCAAATTAACTTGTGTAGCTATGTGCTCGTTACACCATTTCTCTTCACTTTGATCAAGTATCAGAACGATTCTGTGTCCTGCAAAGATTCTACGTGGCGTACCGTGGAGGATATGTCGTCCAGATCGCTGTGAATGCGTACATTCACAAGTATGATGTAAACAGTGACTGGCGAAAGACATTCTTTGTCGTCCTGGTCGCTGCAAACACACCCTAGATCTATTTATAGTTGGTTGTGCGTAGATAAAGACCGTGTGTCTAGGTATTCTTAGCTGGCCACCTGTATGAACTTACGGCATTTAGAGCCGTCAAGGTGTGAACGAGGCACGTTCCAAAAAGTTGATCATCATTGAGCGCATAGGGCATAAGTTATGCTTCGTTGCTCGCGGCACTCACAACATTAAATCACTTGTGTTTTGTTCTGTCTGTTCCACATGTACCGAGATCTAGAGCCACAGGAGAGAAGAAAAAACTGTACGCTGTTTGGTCTCTTAGCACCGATTCCAAGCAGGTCATCACTATCCCCCACTCTCCTCCACTGTGCGTCGCTCGTCACCCAGTGCGGCCCCGCAGCTGCGAATAATGGGGAAAGCTCGCTGGGTGAAACCCACTTCGCTCTGAATCAGTCGCTGAATCGGTCGCCGAATCACAAACGCCCTGATTACATCTGCATGCTGCGGATAGCGCACGTGCGGCGTGGTGGACAATGCCTCCGCTGCGCCGACCGTCCGTCCTCCGGACCGAGCCGCAGACCGGGGTCACAGCGGGGTCCGCCAGCCGGAAATGAGGCGTATCCGGCGCGGTGCGGCGAAACGGCCGGCCGCCGCTTCAGCGCCGCTTTGCGCGGCAGAGGGCGCCGGGCCGGAGAGAGGACGGAAGAGACGCGACGGCGGCCGCTCGTTCCTTCCGCTCGTGCGCCCTCGTCTGCTCACAGTTGAACTGGCTTACACGAGCGGCGGCCGCCGACAGCTCAGCGTCGCCCAGAGCCGCCGTCACCGTCTCCACCGTACATGTGCGG